GTTGGACTGTCATACATCTTACAGGCAGTAATAGATGAATACTCATTATTAATGAAACAATGGGTTGCATTGGAAAACCAAAGCACTTGGAGGAACAAAAAGAATCTGCCCCAGTGCCACTTTGTGCACCACAAATCCCATGTGGATTGTCCTGGGACTGAACTGCATCCTCCACTATGAGGAGCTGGAGTCTATGTGACCTGTGGCATGAGCTAGAATGATGCATATTTTAAAATTAATTATTTGTATGATAATTGAGCTATGTGGGTGCAAACTGATGTACTATCAGAAATGGGTAATTATGTAACAGTCTAGGGTTTTGGGGAAATACTTTTGGCTTCACTCTAGCTCTGGCAGGAATAACAACTCATCTCTTGGGGTTGAAGAATTTGGGTTGGAATAATAAATGAAGTGGAGACAGCTTGGTTTGAAAGTTATGTTTAGAAGTAATTTATGGAGTGGTTTATAGTGATTAAATAAGGTGAGACATGAATGATAGTAGATCAGATAATTTTTTTCTGCTGCAGTTCTCCTCAAACATGATTAACACTTTGAAATTGCATGCTTTTATCTAGTCAAGCAAGACATATACTTTCCAAAATTTACAGCAAAACTTTTTAACTCTGTAATTATTTTGCTTCCAGCAAAAACAGAAGCTTGCATCCTGCCTTTCAGCTAATAAGCATACAGCAGTTTTTGGCCAGATACTGCATGCAGAAATATAAAATGAAACAGATATGAAACAAACTGAAAATTATGAAAAGAATAATTATCATAAATAAGGTATAATTAAAAATTACAAAACAGCAATCTGTAAAATATATTTTTAACTAGTTGTAACATTTAATGCCACAACATGGACCTTTACTAGGAGAAACAGAAGAAAAATCCAAGCAACTGATAAGAAGTTTTTCAAATTATTATGAGAAAAATCAAGAAAGAATAGAAATAAAATGGAATTATTACAGAAGAAACTAGAATCTGATATTTGTTAACAGATATAAGTTTTGAGATCAGCACGGCAGTGGTTGTCATGGTTGTCTCAGTGTCACAGTCCAGATCTGAAAAATCATCACTGTCAAAACCTAAAAACATATACTGGTGACTTTTCTGGGGAGAAAATGTCTACAATAATTTGGCCATATAAAAAGAATGGATGAACAGTAGGGCCCGGATTTTTATGACCTAAAAACTATAAATAAATGCATGCACTTATGACCCAAAATTATGTCAAATATGACCTAAAAAGTGTAAAATATGACCTTAAATATTAAATGGGACATAAAATTTCACAATTTTAATTACAACTTTTACTAGAATTTAAGAATAAAGATGACGAATATATGATAATAGGTCCTACTTACCAAATTAGCCCTATTATGTCTCTGAAGGAAAGAAAACTGATGGAATTTCGACATTTCGTACTGGATTAAACCATTCATTGTTTTCTTTTTAATACTGATATTTGCGTTCATATTTTAGACAAACACTGGTGCACATGGTATGAACACTAACTTAACTCTGTT